ACACGATGTAATGTGTGTAGGTTCCACGTATGCCTTGATAATATAAAATAAGTATGATTGCACAAAGTAGAAACGTATACGTTGACATTATAGACATAAAGATATTAAAAAAAATATAAAGTGATTGCAGTGCCTGGTGGTCTGGCAAATTCCAACTCTTTCTGTCAGAAATGTCACATTCCTTAACCAAATACAAAAAATATAGATAAAAATGCAATACATTTTTGCATTGTCTAACTATTAATTAAAAGGGACTGTAATTAAATTGGCTGCATGATGTACTGTTGAGTTGTTTTCTTATTTTATTTTGATTTATATGTGCCAATGTATGGTTAATCAAAGAAACAATCATAGGAAGAATATACATATGTGTTGTTTCTTATAACCTTATTGGAAGGCATATATAATTTTATTATATTTTGTTATTTTAAAATCACAAAAGAAAATTATGAATCTTAATTAATTTCCTGGTGGAAGTAAAATCACACCAATCAAGTTTTGTTTTGGTCAAGGTACAATTGTTGAAAGAATTGCATTAATCTGCTTCTTAAGCTATATTATGAGCAATTTTTATCAAAATATGAATTTAAAACTGTAATATTATTATTAACTAAGACCAATCAAACACATAACATAAAACATGTACGTATCAAAATTATTATCTTTAAAATTTCCTCGTTGAAGCGTGCATAAAACGTAATGTCTTGGAATTTGGACCTAACATGTGTATGATTATATTGATAAACAATCAAACTTCTCTGTACTTATATTTACATTTACAGAGAGTGGACTTCCTTATGTTATGGTCATATTACACTGCAAAATTATTATTAAAGAAATTCATTTAAACAAACAAAATATAAAACATATACATATCAAAGTTATTAGGTTAAAGTTCTCATATCAGTGCATGCATAAAACATAATTTCCTAACATTTGGGTATCAGAGATTGACAGTCAATCAAAATTTTCTGTACTATATATGCTCATTTAACGAGAGGACTTCCTTATGATTTAAGAAAATATAAATATATTGAGCTACACAAAGTTTAGAAGTTTAAAAGTTAAAAGAGAGGACTTCCTTATGTTGTGGTCTTATTAGACTGTAATATCATTAAAGACCATCAACAAACAACATAAAACATATGAAAATTATTAAGTTCAAGTTAATAAGTGAGAGGGCTGATATATATACAAGCAGACAAGCCAGGTGGAAAACCAAGAAACAGCAAGATGAATTTTGAAATTAATTTATATGACATTATAGTCATCCAATTGAATTTTTTTAGATATCAAACCAAATTATAGCTCCTCTAAAAAATAAATAATAAAATCCTACTTCAGGTAAAATACAGTGGTTGAACATTTTGAAGTCAACAAAAATAAACTGTAAGGGGGCAGTTAAATATTTGAAGTATTGATTCTTTTACTATTAATAATTTACTGACGTTTATTCTCATTTCTTAAGCAGTACTTACAATGGGTAATACTAAGGGTGGAGGCAAGATATAATTTTGCCAACTATTTCTCAATTGGCTAGCCTCCACTCCAAAGGAATTTTCTGGTAACTGATCCACAATTGGCCACAAAATATGTTAAAAGGGCATTGACCCCAACCATCAATATAAAAATTTAGCTAATGATCTATAAATAATTTATAGAGATTTGCGTGGGATTATATCAAATAAACATATTTGAAAATCACTTTCCAATACTGATACAATGAGTATTCAGTGAATAGGTTCTGACAAACATCTTTATTGGAATTCCTACCATATCAACACTCATCTATTAATGTAACCATTAATATTAGGATCAAGTCTGAACACATAAATAATACCTTTCTTTTCTCCTTTTTTTGCAGACCTATCAACTGGTTGGTAATTTAAGGATATTTGTAGTAAAAAAAACATTGTTTATTCATCTAAATTTTTATCACTGAAAACTAAACTGAATTGTTTTGGATGAAATTTGATAAATTATTTGATGTTGTTTAATAAGCAGTAATTTTATCCAAATTTTCCAGATTGTTAACAGCAGTATTATACTTAAGCATCAGACAGCACACTTTTAACTCAAAAACATGTAAAATGGAGCATGAACAATTCATAGCTTCCAAGGCCTAAACTTTATGGTTTTAAATCTCTGTCCACACTGTTGTATGCCCATATATAGTCATGATGTGCCTATATATGGTCATGATGTGATATCATCATGAACATATTTGGGCATGTCACATGTTTTTGTCAAATAAAACTTAAACCACTTGCTTGCAAGTATAGGACTAACAACCTACAGGCCACAGTTTTTATCAGAAACTCCCCAAACTTGCTCATAATGATCCATGACCAAGGATCTCGAGGTGATTAAATTTTGAAGGGGCATGGTCAAAGGTCAAGGATCACAATCGACGAAAAACTACTTGTACTGTACATATCTATAACAGCCTACAGCGAACAAGTTTTATCAGAAACTCGACAAACTTGGTCACAATTATCCATGGCCAAAATAAATGAAAACTATTCTTAGAACAATCTGCTGTATGGACATGTGTTTATGTGCTTACGGGGTTTGCCAAAGAAGAGTAATAAAACATATTAATTTAACAGCGATAGATGCGAAAACAGTTTGCTGTAGTAGTTAGAAGACTGTTTTCCACAATACCGACCCTGGGTTCAAATTCTCTGATGTCTATTTGTTTTTTTGTTTTCATTTTTTTTTTTTTTTTTATTGTATGCAATAACTTAACATCTTATTACCGGTCAAGCCATTTAGGCATCAGCACAGCAAGGAATACATTTTTATTCATGGGGACAATATGCATGGGAAATTTTTACAGAGGAGAATGATGAAGGCGGAGGTATGCACTCTTACAGTGCCCTCTAGTTATGTATGCTTCTTCATTTAGAGGTTTTCTGATTTAAAATGAATTGATTGATGAGTCAAAGTTTAGATTGGATTGATCATGTAAACAATTTCAGGGGAAGAGGAAGGCTACAGTCTGAATGAAAGGAATTATAAGGAGGTGTTCTCATATTTTTTTTTGATGTAAATATTATTTTTGTTGCTGCAAGGGGGAAAGCATCTCTTTTGCTATCACAATTGCAGCACAATTTTGTGGATTTCCCATTACATTATGCATGGAATATACTAAGTATAGTATTTGATATAACACAATTAGTGTTATTGATCATGCATGAATATATGGCAACTGAATTAATAATTAAAATTTAAATATTTTGTAAGAAAATAGAAAATCGCTTCAATTACAATCCATGGGGAATAAATATACAAAAGTAGAATATTTTCAATTAGGAATAACCCATATTGGGATTAGATGTGGCAAAATAGGAAGGTAGAAATCACAGATACTTCTGTGAAACGTGAACATTGTAAGTACAAATGATATTTGATACTTGCTGTAGTTACACGGTATGTATGCTGCAAGGAGATATGTGCATACTAATTTGAGACACTTGCTTAGTCAACCAAGTTTAAAACATACGCTTAAAGTGAATAAGCACTTCAGACGCTAGTGGCAGATGTAAGTATTTGAAACAGACATGGAACAGGGAGGTCCTTTTTCAGATAGGGTACAGATCACCACGACTTCTCCATGGCTTCTAGATGGCCAGAAATGTATTTTGTAATTTTCTTTCACACATTTTTTTTTTTATATTCCAGAGTTTGGGGAAAGGGAGCTAAGTCGACAGAGCCCTTCTTTAATTCTGCCTTTGAATATGATGATTAACAGCATCTAAACTTTCAGAAGGAACATAATGATGTATTAACTCACATATATATCAACACCAGAATCAATCATCTTCCATAGCATATTACACACTATAAAAGCCTAATAAGCATAAACATTCTATCAATGGCAACTACTAAATTCATGTGTCCAATACCTTCACTCACTTTTTTTCAAGGGGTCCTAAAGTCGGGCACTCTTACGACGGTCATGCGACGATTGTACGACTGTCGCACAACGGGTCGTCTGTGACGCCGTCTGCTAATTGTCGGCGGCAGTCTGAACGGATCATCACTAAAAATGTTCCGTTGCGCGCACAATGTCGCATTGCATTCTGCATAGAATCGCGTTGGCCGACGACTACATGCGCAGTAAGTGCCCGGCTTAAGTCTCCCACAAGCCGTGGGAGTTTCTCGGAAATGAGGAAGGCCTCCTGTAAGCAAGAGGAATCTCCCGCAAAATAAGCCATCTCTCGCAAATTCACGATATTTGCATATTCTTAATACTGTATACTCAATTTTCTCCTAGAAATCAGTGCCAATAGGTATCACAATGCAACAACAGCAAAATATAAAAAGATGTGCTTAAGAAGCTGGATGGATGGATTTATTTGGTGTAAACACCATGGATACTGTAACCCATGGATACTGTAAACACCATGGATACTGTAAACACCATGGATACTGTAACCCACATCTCAAAAAGGCTTATTACCATTGGGGTTCTTCTGGTGGTGAATGGGCAGTACACCGGGAGACAATCCCCTACTTTTTTCTGAAAAGTGTACTGTATTCTTTAATGTGCACTTGGGCTATAATGCACATGACCAACGGCTTAAAGTTTCATCTGAATACAAGGAGAGCAGTGATGGGAATTGAACCGGGGACTAAGAGATCTGCACGGTTCAGCGCACACACAATTGCTTGTGTGCAATCCACCACATTGATAATGGCAGCGGAATCTATCTAAACGTGCAAATTTCTACAGAGTTTAGATAATAAAAGTTTTGATCACTGGTCATTCCACTTGTAAACCTTCACGAATGAAAATACTTTTTTTTTTCGACCTGATTATTTGACCTTAATAAATAGAAATGCTAGGGAGAGTGGGAGGAAAAGAATGGGGGATAACTCTATATTTGGCATTTAAATAATTCAGTCAAATTATGACAATTTATACATTGTAACTTTAACTTCTCTGAAATTCACAGTATGCGATACATTGTAAATTACAAAGGTACTTACATTCCCCCTACTTTGGAACTTAAAATTTATGGTGAATTGTAAATTTCGATGTAGGGGAATGCACCCCATAGAGGTGAAAGCTAAGTAAGTCATGTAAGATTATACAGGGTTTGCAGCCTCATAAAAATGAAACTCAGATTTTAAAACAGGTATGTTGTACACCTTGTCATTAATCATTTAAAAGGCATCTCACCCCTTGAAAGATAATGAGCCTGGGTCACCTCAAATCCAATTGACGTAGTGATGTCAATGAACCTAAATAATAATAATATGTAAAACAAAGTAATATAGGTACTGTAGCAATACCCTATTAGATTATAGCCCTTTTTTTGTTATTTGTTATTTGGTATTTATCATAGAGATATAATAAGAATACTAGAGCGCTAACAGCAATGTATTCGATGTTCGAAATACGCAGAGCTGTGTGTGTGTACCATCCAAGATGGCTGCCATAGATTCAGCCAATCAAATTTCCCCTGAGCACTATCATTTTCAATTGCGCCCTCAATTTACACAGAAAGTTCAGTATAGCTAGTTACCCGTATTTTGAAACTCGAGCATTGCAGTGTGTGGGTGTAATGAACACGATTTTAATTCTTTTTAATATTTGAATAAGATGCTCTACTTGCCTCTTTTTGGCTACGACAGTTTAATAATTTGTCATTATCAATACTAATTATCATTAATGAAATAATATTCAGTCAGAGGGCTTATTTATGGTAATAATATGTATACTAAGCCTGAAGGTGGCGCCTTCCTACGGCAGCCATCTTGGATGGTACACATACACAACTCATTGCTCTGCCATCTTGTCAGCACTCTAGTTGTTTAATAGCTCTTTGGTATTTATACATCACCTATCCCTTACAAAGCGCTTTGTTTTCCATGGTCATTGGGTCCGCATGCTTAAGAGCTGTTGCCACAGAAGCAATGCAGATAAACTGGCTTTCTCAAGGACACAAGTGAAATGCACGAGGGATTGAAACCCCAACCCAGATGTTAGGAAACTAAACCATTTCCACTGCACCAAACCGCTTCCACTAGCCCTTTGCTAACAATAGACATCAGCTAAGTGCCAGATACATAAATTCTGACAATAGCAAAGATTTCACATGTATTTGAAAATGGTGTTTACCGTTGTTTTGACTTTGTTGGCTCTATTGAGCATGATATTCATATTTTTTAATATGAATACAATACACAAACTTAACAACATTCACTAGACTTCTATTCAAAGTGTGTTTGTAATGTGTTTTTTGATTAAAAATTATATTTTGGTTGGTCAAACTTGACTACTGAAATTAAAGGGGTATGTTCAGCTTAAAACTATTGCTTTACACTTTTTGTGCTTATAAGTCGAAACAAATTATTAGGGACAAATTTAACTACACTGATTCAAAACATTGGAACAGAAATGAGTAAATCTTTACAGTATGTTATTCAACTATTTAACTTTAAGAGAAATGATTTGCAATTTTCAACAACCAAATTGGAGAAAAATAAATAATCAGTTTTGCAACTTGATATCCAACAACTTTTTTTAAAGCTTGGAAAATTGATCAATAGGGGTACATGGATGACTGGTTTTTAAGTCATAATGATTGAACTCAGCACAGCTATCCAGCTGTGTACTAATTGATTTTAGCAATAAAAAATAATAATATGCAAAGGTCATGCATATGAATAGTAGTAACCCCTGCATAAGCACAGCAACCTGGACATGCAAAACAAATCTGCATATGCAGAAGTACATGCATACAAACGTAGGTACACCTTATAAATGTATATACACCTGCATAGAAATAGCAAACATGCAATGCAATGGTTATCTGAACAGCAGTAAATACATGCATACACATAAAAAATGGTAATATACATCAGCATATACTTATATCAACACTTGCAATAGCACATCAACACCTGTATTAACCTATCAACATTTGCATAAGTACATCAATACCTGCATTTGCACTTCAATACCTACAATATGCACAAAACACTCATATGCACATCAATAGCTGCGTATGCAAATATATACCTGCATCTAGATATGTGCATATCGACACCTGCATATGCACTGTACATTAACACACATCAGCAGCAACATACACACAGCATCACGCCCATATAAGCACATCCTCAATTGCAAGTAACCAATACCATTATTTATGTTGTGAATATTTATCACATATTCAAAAAATTGTCAGAATGCCAAACTCACTGTCCAAAAGTCTTCATGCAGCAGTATTTATCAAGTTGGTCTTTGTGTTTAGGACTCTGGAGTTGCTCCTTGCCTAATTCAATTGCACTGGAAAGCAGTGCGTTCAGGTGTTTAGTATTTGACAGGGGGTGAGAATTTTGTAATATACTTGCAATGATTGCTGAGACCACAACACAGCTTGCTCGACATCTACACAAAAGACATATTTAATACAAACCAGTTAAATCTAGTGTAACACACTTACATAAGATTAAATTAATAAAGGCCACAAGCAACTTTACCAAAGTCAAAGTTAAACCTTGAACGTATATGGTCAAATCAAAACATTATAGGAAGCACTTATTCATTAAAATAGGACACTATCATTAAATTACTATGCATATACTTCATTCCATACCCAATTATACTCTTGGGTAGACACAAATATATGTCAGTCTCAAACTCACTAATTTTTGGATAGAAACCCCTTACTCCTTAGCGGTGCCATCACTGATAGAGCCACATGGATTTTATTACTAGGCACTTTACAAAACAGGACGGGAATACGGGTGGACGGTGGTTCTGTGCTCATCAGAGCGTGAAGACCATAGTAAACACTTGGGCGCTTAACCCCAAATTGCCACTGTCAACAGCTTCCCATTCTCTTGTGTAAATTATCCAATCAAGGTGCACATTGTGAAATCATACCTTGGGTCATAATGAGTAGCTCTACATATTCGTACAGCATTGCTTGAGACTTCTTTTATGTCGTGAAAATGAGGTATTCCCAGTATTGCCGTTCTAACTAATGCTCCGTTGTCTGCTAAATGGTCACATGATTCAGGGTCATCAGGTTCATAAGCTCTTTCCCAGATTTCTTGCGAGGCATCATGTGGCTTTTTGGTAAATTGTTTGTGATGGAGAGCCTAGGATAAAAACAGGTAAAACTGCATCACTAAAATTGCATTCACACACAGAAACATTAAAAATTTGTGGGATGTTAATTTCCCGGGAGATTTTTGCTTACTTGCAGGAGTTCAGGAGGTCACACCGATCCCCTGAAAACTCTTATGACCCAAGGGAGACATGGCCTCCATGGGTTAAGAATAATTTGTCAAATCACCTTAGCAACAGCATTGCTGAATTCTTCATAGCCTTTGGTGTCGCCAAGGTCAGGGAAGCCATGTTTACTCCACAGAAACAGGCGCTTTGCAAAATCAAGCTCATCGACGACACCAGCCCAGTGAAGAATAGAGTCCAGAAGAAGTGCCTAAAAGAAGGACGGGAGAAAACACCAAGTTGTATGGTAAATAAAAATTTATGATATGGCTGGATGAAACTTGCTACCTAACTCTTGCCTAGACTATCAAATTTGATTTTACAAAAACATGTGACATATCATGTCTATATATGGGCATACAACAGTTCTTTGTCAAAGAAAATTTTATAGCATGGGCAGAGCTTAATCTCTACAAATTGTTTAATGCCTACACATCATTTACTCTCTCTCCCCCCCCCCCCCTTTACTTCTCTCTCCCCCCCCCCCCCCCAATCCCCGGCATTATAATAATTTTAAAAACACTGAGTGTCCCAATAATGCAACGACAGTGTCAGATTGAGGTTGTTGTTAATGTGAAATGAAAATAATGAAATAATGGTGTTAAATAATCTTTATACAAACTTACCATTTGATCAAAATCTGCTGACCAATCGCCTTTATCCCACTGAAGACGATGTTTATCTGTAATTGAGTTCTTGTAATTTAAATCATCCTCTTCATAATAGAAAAGACATTCATCTCTAGTAAGGTTCTCAGTACAAAGACCAAGGGCATCTCCAATAGCTGCACCATACACCAGACCTAATGTAGTGAGAAGTGTTCTACATTATACAAACTACCATCATTTGCTAGCCTAAAAACAATCAGTAGGGGATCAAGTGGGTGGAAAAAAGAGGCAGTCACCCACCTCTCACAATCGCAGCACTCCCCCATGGCAAATAAATAACCAAGTGTGAAATCATTTAGATAAGAGGTTGAAATGGGTAAAACTATAAAGCTTTTATAAGAAATTGCCTCTGGACCTCCAGACTTAGTAATGGACATCCATTACTAAGCACAGATCTTCGTTTCGCACCAAAGGTTACACACCCTTTGGACCATAGGTCCTAATTGCAACTTGCGCCACCCCAGCAAGAAAGATTCTAGATCTGCAACTAGCAATGTATCTCACACAACCTCTTTACATAGTGTAATGCAAGCTACTATTGGTCACTCATACTTACCAACTATCTTGTCCCTCAGCTCATCTGCATCAAGCGTAGTAGCACCAAGGGTTGGTCTAAGCGGTGTTCGAATCCTGCTTGTTGTGTTTGTTGTTTGTGTCTGTTCTTGTAGATATTGTGCTCTGGCTGAATGCGGATTTCCTACTGATGAATTCAGGACATTACCTGTTAAAAATTACAATATACAAGATATTACTTGCACATAATAATACACAATAAAACTATTTTTAAGCCCCTAATAGATCACAGTCTATGTGCTTTACGTAAATCTGAAACTATGGTGGAACACTGGACACAAACCCGATATTTCTGAGTCTAGGTTTCGGGGCAAGAAATTACATGGTGTGGCGTATACTATAGCCTGCAGTTAGTACAATGGTTGTCGCCTGAACTTTCAACTTTGAAAAACCGCTTAGCTCAGTCGGTTAATCTGGTGGTAGCCACTGTGTCTGCGCTGAACCGTGAAGATTTCTAGATCCCTGGTTTAATTCCCATCGCTGCTCTCCTTGTGTTTTAGTCAGAGGGCTTAAGTGCACCGTCTTTTGGATGAGACGTTTAAGCCGTTGGTCCTGTGTGCATTATGGCCCATGTGCACGTTAAAGAACGCAGTACACTCTTCAGAAAAGAGTATTGAATCACCAAAAGAAGAACCTCACTGGATGTCTTTTTCTAGACTTTCGTGGGTTATCATTGGTGTTTATACCGAATAAATCCATCCATCCACCCTTACTGGGCAAATTAATGCTCAGCATTAAATGTATATCTTCAATGAATCTTAAATTTTGATTAAGAATTATGTTCATGAGATTGTTACAAAATAAGAATATACTTTAAATAATAATGATGATGATGATAATAATATTAAAAACAGCATTAAGAATAACAATGTATGTATATAATTTTAAAACAAAATGATAACAACAATAACAATTTATTTTTAATTATAAAATAAACCTATAAAGAATATCAATAACAAATAAAAACAACAATAATAACAGAAGTATAAACAAAACATAAATAAAAGTAAACAACATAAGTATTTTTTGTATTGTAAGATATGATAACAGAAAAAAAAATTGAGAAAAATCTATATAAAAAAGGGCAATTAAATTTACCTCGAACTCTCTGAAATATATTCCCAGGAAGAAGAACTTTAGGTATATTTCCATTGTGAAACTGAAGTCTAAGAAAACTTAATAATGCATCAGATCCTTCATTACAGATGGACTGTGGTGGCAGCAGACACTGATTATTGAAAGCTAGGAGAACATTCATTTGCTTTGAGCCACCTAATGAGATTGGAATTCTGTGTAGTTGATTATCAGAGATGTTCAGCTTTTTTAGGGACTCCATTTGACCTATATTATCTGGCAAGCTCATTAGACTGTTGAAAGAAAGATCAAGCTTTTCTAGCTTCACCAGATGAATGAATGTTTTCGGAAGACTCTGGATTTGGTTGTGATGGAGAAGCACGTTCTTAAGATGAAAAAGGAGAGCAAAGCTATCTGGAAGGGATGTCAGTCGATTATGACTTAAATTCACAGTCGAAAGATGAGGTAGCCGCAGAGGAATTTCCGGCGGGATTCTGGTCAGTTCGTTGAAGGATACGTCCATTTCCTCAAAGAGAGAGACTGAATCAACAATTGACCACGGAAGCTCAGTCAGAGCGCCCTCTACAGCAGCACCATCAACATGCTGAAAAGACAAGATGTTATATAATTTTATGAATTAATATAAAGTGTAACCGATTTTCTCAATAGGGGCTCAAAATTTTTCTTCACGTACAGTATAACACTAAACTGGCTGACGGTTACCAAATAAATCCGGCCGTCAGCACTCTGTGCGACTCTGAGTGAAATTCTTTCTGCCGATTGTCGGTGGCAGTTTGAGCGGATCGTCATTAAAAATGATCTGTTACATGCCATCGTGTTGCAGTTGCTGATGGTTCACATCGGGCTGCGCAGTGTGCTCCCAGCGTTCAATAGAAAAAAATTAATAAAAAAACAGAACAGATCTGTGAAATATACCTGCTGATATAGTTGAGGTGTAACTCGACATCCAAGATTCAGCTCACGTCGCTCATCTGGACGAACAGGGGCAAAATCCTGCACTTGGACATTACCCATAATGCAAAGAAATGCAGCAAGACACCTGATGATGTTAGTCAATAGCTCTTAGTTCTCAACCTGTAATAAACAATCAATCTACAATCAACTGTGACATATTATACTAAAACAAAAGCTGTTAAACTTTGCACACTATAGATATCAAAATAGACATCATATATTTAATACTGTAACCTGATAGTTTTTGTTTTTTTACCCTCCTCCTCAACTTTAGAAGTTGGAAATGGATATTGTTCTGACATGCTATAGTATATTGCATCAGGATAGTGAGACTGAACTGAAGGTTATGGTTAGGGTTAAACCAGTTCCACCAATAAACTTTTCGGATTTGACTGCCAGACCCTTTTTTAAGGTTCATTCCTGTGTGCAAACATACTTTTTTGAAATTTTATCTAGTCGCATATCATCCAAAAAATGATGTGTCTAATAAATTGGTGAGAAAATATTAGGGGAAGAGTAAACTCGTCGGCGGCACGGTGACAGCACTTTTCATTCACTATGCCAAGTGCGAGTTTTCTCGTCTGCTTTTTGCATGGGTTGGTATATGTTCGAAGGGCAGCCCCACCTGTGCTGCTCAAGTGTACTACCGGCAACATAACACAACAAACATACACACGTCATTTGTACGTTATCATCTAAGTGTATCTTCCCCGAACTAACAGCTGCTAAGTCTGTGGTTCTACAATGAAGTAATAAATGATATAACGTTACCCTGATTTTGACGAGTATAGTCGTCACTACTGGGCCCTCAGCAGCACCCTGCTGAGCTAACGTGTTACAATTGTTGGGACAATATCATCCTTTTTTCCACCATATTTATGTGTGAGTGTGTGTGATTATTACAGTAACTATGTTTGGCAGCATCTCCCTGACTCACTAAACATTAACCACTTGCCTAGGCCTAGGTATGGGAGGAGGTAGGACAACACTCAGCCTCAGTCTGCTGTCCGGGTATGATGAGAGGGCCCTAATACAATAGCCTAATAGCAGTCCGGCTAGGTCCTAGTAGCCCATTTCTCCTAGATTCTTTATCATGCAAGGAAAATGACCTGGATTTTCGATACTAATGAAGAAATCAAATGCGTCAGTTGCTTATATTTTTAACACACGACAACCGAGATATTTTACACAGACAGATTTATTTTTTACCTCAAAGTTTTCTTGCTCCAACACACGTACGTACCCCATGTCCTCTGCTGACATGGTCAGAGGTTGAACTGTGATCAGTGACGTGTGACTGTTAAATCTAAAAATAAAATTATTGCAATCGAATGAATGTGTTTGGCGTAGATGTTTCACAGCTGTTAGGCACATTTTGTACTGGTATTAATGTTGTTTATTGTGTGTATTCAATATGAATAATGATTAAACTAATTAATATGGTTTTAAACTTTATTCCCTGTAGTAGGAACGTTTTATTTATGTATAATACCGATGGCCTAGCCCTAGGCTAGGCTAGCTGTACGACGAGCCACACACATTAATTTGGCCGAGACTGCGGAACCGTGACCTATTGCGGTTTCTATGGAACAGTTGAGCTAGGCCTAGCCTTAACTATTAACATATTGTAGATGAGATTAGGCACACCTTTAATTGCTGAACTTACATATTGTAATAAGCTTTGAATTTAAGGTTCGTCGCTAAATTGACTACTCTAACTAGCATGCAATGTTTTTTTTGCAGATTTCTTTTTGGTACTGTGTTGTTGAGGTTTTTAGTTGAATTCTGCTGTTTTTGGCTGACTATTTTGTGATGTCATCAGATGTAATAGGACTTCAGGAGGAAGTCACAGTCAGTACTGGGGGTGCTTTTGCCACTTCTGGCTTGGAAAATGGATTCAGTGAAAAACTTGACATGAGCGATGGAGAAGGGGGAAGTAAACAAGCCTGTTATGAAATGAACAGTGATAAAGATAGTCAGTGTGACAGCATCAGTGAAGATGGAAGCTACACATTAACAGCAGATAACAAACCCACCGAGGACAGCGTCTTAGAGCAGGGGACATACCGGAAAATCAGTCAACCCACCATTCCTATCGATGTAGTGGATGCAGGCGGTGATGATGTTCAAGGGATGTGTGATGATAGCGACAGTGAAATTGGGAGTTACCATGTCAATGAGAACACAGATGAGGAGGATGGTGTCCAAATATCTGATGCAAGTGATGCCGAGTATGATATGAGTAGTGGGGAGGAGAGTGATATAGAAGACAATATGGATGATGTTGAACTTTTACGACTGAAATACCTCAAAAGACAACAGAACCCTGTTCTTCCAAAGACTGTGACTGTATTGGAAACTGAAGAGGGCGCTAAAGTGTATCTGATAGGAACAGCTCATTTTAGCATGGAGAGTCAGGATGATGTTGCCAAGGTGTGGTATATAAAGATAAGCTGTCTCTGATGAATTAAAAACTTTAAAAAAAATTAATTAAATTAAATATATTAGTTAATTCAATACTTTTAAATACTATTTTTTTAAAATTTCACCACAGGCTGTGTAAATTTACCTATAATTATATGTTTGTGTGATCTTTACTTTTATTGTATTGATCTTTATATGGCTAATCAAATCACATTGAAACTAATTTTTTCTTTTACATGTACCAATTTTCTCCCTCTGTTCTTCAGAGACTCCCCTTTTTTTGGCACATAGACTAAAGTACCATGTAATTAAAATATTAATTTTTCAACAAGTTTTTCACTCATAATTTTGTTTTCTTTGCAGACTATAGAAGCAGTTCAACCGGATTTAGTTATGGTGGAGCTGTGCAAGAGTCGGCTTAGCATCATGCAATTAGATGAAGAAACATTGCTGGAAGAGGCCAAGAATATTAATATGGATAAATTAAGATTATCAATACGACAGGTACACCATCTAAGTCACTCTTATCAAGTGAAATATTTTGAAAAACTAATTATTCATTTTGTCATAAATGGGCCGTTCAACCAAGGCCAGCCAATTGGATGTTGTTGCTATGGTTCCGCAAAACAACAGCCGTACCATAGAACTGTAAACTTGTGTATTTGTAGAAAAAATGCTTGGATATTCCTGGCCCTGCCTATTAAACAACACATTCTGATTGGTCTGTTTAGTTCCATTGCAGATCATTTGATCTGTTCATCATCAACATAATATTCAAACACATGCAAAAAACAATGCACAAGGTGTGAAATTTGTAAAAAAAAAAAAGATATTAACAATTTATGTGTATTTTTGACGGGATTTTTTAATTAGAAATTAAATAAATCTGAAATTAAAATAGGAATAATTAGTCAAATTATTAGAAACAGATACTGAAGAGGGATTATCACAAATTACTAAGTTTATTTGATAAAAACATGTGACATATGCCTAAATATGGCCATGATGACATCACATCATGACTATATATAGGCACATTATGACTATATATGGGCATTCAACAGTTTTTTGTCCAAAAAAAATGGTAGTCCGGACAGGGTATAAGATAAGGAGCTCCACTTAGTATAGTAATTAGCAAATGTGATTTATTGGCAGAGTGGTCTTGTAAGTGGGGTTATGCAGGTGCTTCTATTGAGTCTGTCTGCACACCTGACAAAGGAGCTTGGAATGGCACCTGGTGGAGAATTCCGCAGAGCTTTCAGAGAGGTAGGAATTTTGAAATCCATCATTTGGCAGACAATATTAAATATTTATGTCCTAATTCAGTTAAGCAACATGCATTTAAACTTTGAAAAATTTACTGTCGTCGTCAGAGAAATATGATGAAAGACATTGAAAATAACATTACCAGCAGAAACGACTTTTGTAAAATAATTTATTCATTCTCTCGAATTCCTAGGCCCAGCGAGTTCCTGGATGTAAAATAAGCCTTGGAGACAGACCGATACAGATCACCTTGAACAGAGCCATGGCTGAGCTGTCGGTATGGCAAAAGATGAGGCTAGCTTGGTATATGATAACCTCTAAAGATCCCATTACGTAAGTGGAGAGCCCCAGCAGTCTGAATCCCTGTCCAAACTATCAAATTTTATTTGACAAAAACAATTGACACCTAAATATGGTCATGATGACATCAGATCAAGACTATATATAGACACATCATGACCTTATATGGGCATACAACAGTTTTCATTTCAGAGAAAATTTTGTATGGAAAGAGCCCGAGGATTAATTTACAGTGTCATATTTGTTATTTCCCAAAATTATGTTTAACATGTACTTTTATTTGCTTACTCATTTTGAATCAATGTACTGTATTGTATTTTTATCAAATTTCACTATGATTTTAAATTAAAATTTAAGATGCCTCGCAACACAAGTGCACAAGCTTTTCACAGGCAGGGCCTCACAGTTTTCAACATTTGCACAGCTCCGAACAATGTTGCAGTTGTTCAGGTGAGAATTGGTTCTCAGTTCTGGACTCTGCAGTTTGTCTTTTCAACCGAAAATCAAGGCGGCGATTTATATTACATGGGAGAAGCCATTTTTAAACAAGCAATTAGCCAATTCAAATATTACACTTGCTGTTTAATCGTCACCATGGTCTAATCAATACCCCACCTGTTTAGCATTATACTCACACATTATACAGTGTTAACATATCACCTACCTGTAGGTATAAAAGCTACACGGTATTGAATATTCTAGTCACTGATGATGGGAAACGTTTCCCGAAACATGTCTGCTCCGTGACTCGATGTTATTGGTTTTTGTTAAATGCCGAGCTGTTCTATTGTCCATTAGAAGTTTTGATAACATCATTCATAAATTAAAATTAATATCAAAATGTATCAAGTTCAGGAGTAAGCAAAGGTGAAAGAAGCTTGGATATCCAAAATATAATCATACTACTTTCACCAATTTATTTTATTTATTTATTTAGGCACACAACACATGCACCAAGGATTGCCAATAGCGAATACATCACTGTTCTCATGGCAACAATCCTTTTCACAAGATATTACACACACTGTGCAGTCAGAAATTGAACCCATGACCCTGGGATTGGAAGGCAAGCATCTTAACCACACCCCACCTATTTATTTCCAAGGTCTTGAATACCCATAATGGCTATTTTGTGTACAGAACAAAAAAAAACTAACATGATTGTAATTAATTCTCCTAAAGGAAAGAAGATGTTGAAAAATGTAAACAAAAGGATCTTTTGGAGGAAATGCTGGAAGAGATGACTGGTGAATTTCCTGCTCTTAGTCGCGTTTTTGTGACGGAACGTGACATGTTCTTGGCAAACTCCCTGCAAATGTGCACGCAACCTCTGTACTCGGAACATAAGAATGGTAAGAGATTGCTTCAGATCACAAACTTAAAAAACTCCATCAAACTCATCTATCAACACTGTCTATTCAGCAACAGGGACTGGGATTTTCACTTGATTATGTCATATTTAATTGATATGCAAGGCAAGACTTTCTATTATACCTTGCTTAGCAAATCCGCTAATTGTCAATAATGGTGATTTTGAATAAAAATTAAATTGATAATTTCATAAAAAGTAAAATCCTCTGAAATCTCTAAAAAATTATATATATATATACATATATATATATATATATATATATATTCCCTAATATATATTCTCCTCCACATAAGACACTGTAGTTTTGACAAAATCATTTTGCTTAATGAGAAAACAAAATTTATTTATATTTTTTTTTCAGCCCTCTGACAATCTTTAAAAAAATTAAGTTTGTGAGACAAGGTATTAAAGCCAGGCTCCGGAGGGAATAACATTTGTACAACTGATGTTTCTGAGACACGAAAAACTGGGGAGCGGCTAATGAGATACAGATTTTTGAACATTTAAATAATTCAATGATGAAACCAGGCTTATATTTTAAAGATGGTTGTTTGTTTTTTGCAGCGTTTGTTGCACCTGTTGTCGTAGGTGTTGTTGGCATAGGGCATACACCTGGTATAGTAGAAAACTGGAATAAGCCACCAAGTACTAATCAACTTCAGGAGATAATGAAGTAAGTTCTAATTAATAAATGGCTATGTCAAATATAAGTCATTATTATCAGCAATTTCAACCATAATCTACTTGATTTTGATTGAAAATAGGTTTTTAATAATTACTGCTTCATGTACAGCACTGAAATGAGTTGCATAATTTTGGTGATTTTTATCATCTCATTGAATAAAAAACTGAAAAAGATTGATAAAGAGAGTTGAGCACTCCAGCCTGTACAAGTTCGACTACCTTTACCTATATTTTATACCTTATTTATTATAACTAAAGTATTGGTAAATAAATAGTCTCATTTTTATTATAACTATTCAAGTAATATCATTACCTATTGATTTAAAGAATCAGCATTATTATTTTACATTGATTACAGCACGAGAGTAATTTTCTTTCATAAATTCAGCTAACAAATTTGTTTTCTTATCACGAACAGGGTTCCAGGGCGATCGTTATTGGGTCATGTGTTACGCTTGTCAATTCGTGCCTCTGTGTTAGGGACAATCATGTTTGGGTTTTACCGCTGCTATCGATGGTGCGGTGGACCACATATAACATCCTTCATACCATTATGGTAATTTTTTATACACCAATGTGTTAAGCATTTCATACCAATATTGTAAGCATTTATACCAATATGGCAAACCTCTCTCTCGTGCACTGTACTAACACTCATTCCTATTGATGTACAGTAGAACCTCGTTTTTACGTACCTCAGTTAATCAAACCCTAAGTTTTAATTACACTTTGTACGGATGATGACGTAAGAAACAAAAAAATATTAAAAAACAGACAGCCCTTTCAGGCAATCATGCAAGAAGAGATTTGTTATTTTATTTCAATACAGTAACAATAAACAAACCATCGTATATCATGTAGGCCTAGGTAACATTCTCAGTTCATAACATATGTTTATTGAGTGTTGCATACATACTAGGTCAAAGGGCACCACAAATTTAACCCAAACCTTGATTTAATGAATCCTTGTGTTTACGTACGTAAAAATGAAGTTCTGTGTAATTGCCTGATTTGTGTTGATGTAGTAAGCCCTTCATATACCAATGTGAAAATAATTCATATTACACCAATGAAAACCAAAAGTACACTCCTTTTATACCATAGTGGTTACGCAAAATAAATGTAAAATTTGACAGAACACAGGCAAAATTCTCTTATGAAGAAAGCACTAATAATAATAATAAGTAATAGAATTTCAGGAATCATTTTATAAATTTTATAAAATTGATATTGGTTTCCTGCACAGGTTAGCACACTGTAATTAAAATAACATATTTACTTTTAATGTGTATATAACATTTTGAATTAAGTTAAATAATGGATTTTAGGAAGTAAATAATATTATATAAAATTTGGGAATGAAGATTTCCTGTTAATAAGATGGGCAATAGTAGGGTAGTGTGTATTTAGAAGACGAGATATGGTGCTCACATTTGCACAAATGTCTTAGTTCTGAAGAAGAATAAACTGTTGATGTTTGTTTTGTTTCACTGTATAGTAACTTACTTTACAAAAGGGAGTATGTATGTGATAGTTGTCAGGAATATAAACCATTTTTTAAAAATTTATCTTGACAAAACTTTGAGGCTCTTATGCTATGATCTAATAAGAAATTAGCATACAGTACTCCTATTCCATATACACATGCCTGGGGTGGCACCAGTATAGGCAACTGGGCCCCCGTTGGGGAGAAAAACAATATACAGTTCGCACTACATTCAAGACCACCTTTGGGACCTGCAAATTTGAGGTGGTCTCAGGGTAGGGCTACCTTTATGTTAAAAGGTTGAAAATTGTTATTTGGGTCTTTGGAAAAGGGGTCTTGATTTGGAGGGTGCACTGTATATGTATTTTCTATATATTTGAAAGTTCGACCACGGCCACTGCTCTCGTTGGGGACCTCGGTGCCACCCCTGACACATGCATTAGAATACCTGGTATGTGGTGGTGTTGTTACTGTAGTTGTTTATAAATTCTTTACATTTTTATAAGATTGTATACATTCATAATATATTTAATTTCATCCATTGTTTGGTATTTAAATTAAAATAGGGCAAACATCAATTTCTAATTGTTGTTTTCTTTAGTTGTTGAAGTGTTTATACAGTTCATCCTCCAAATTGAGACCACTTTGGGAACTAAAAATTTAGGGTGGTCTAGGGGTTCGGTCTCCAATTTTTGTCTTGAATTTGAGGATTCTCAGGGTTAGAGGGGTCTCAAATTTGAGGGTGTACAGTACTGTATTATGCATCATCTACCGAGTGATCCTTTGCAATGCCTTGTTATACCGTTGGTAAAAGAGTGACAAAAGAGAGTGGTAGGCCTGGTGTGGCCCTTAACTCTGTTTTACATTGGTTTACAGAGCATTCCATCCAAGCATTAATAAAATGTTTATGCTAATTTTGACACATATTTCTTTTCCAATTTATATCTATGACCCCTAGTACTTGAAATCTCACATCTTTGAAAAAATGAGATATGCAAGTAGGGGTTGTATTCTAATATCTTAATTGTCCATTTGTAAACAAATTTCATTTCACTGTATAAACATCAGATTTATCTATTAGTATTTGACTGTTTGGTTCACAAACTAGACAAAAAAGAACCAGTGAAATTTCACCACAATACAGTAGTCACCAAAGTCTGTTGGCTGTCTTAAAAAAATGTACAGTATGCCTGACTGATATTAATCCTTGCATACTTAATTTAAAGAGAGAATCACTCGCTACACATTGGCTTGTTCTTTACACTCTTTTATTCCAAATTTGTGGTACAAATGTGTGCACATTTTACCATTATTATTATAGATTCATTAATGAACTGAATTCTTTTTCTTTTGAAATATTTGTGTTTCTACATTATCTTCAATTCCTTGATAGGTTTTACATCAATGTATTTATATAAAAATAATCTTCAATTCCCTTGATAGGTTTTACATCAATGTATTTATATAAAAATAAAGTAAATTTTGTAATTGGTTGACTATTATCAGTTCTTCCAATTCGAGACCACCTTTGGGACCTGAAAATTTGGACTGGTCTCGGTATTGGTCTGCAATTAGAGGGCTAGCTTTGTGTTAAAAGGTTGAAGATTATTATTTGGGTCTTTGGAAAAATGGTCTCGAATTAGAGGTCTCGAATTGGAGGGTGCACTGTGTATTGTCAATTTAGAATACATATTTTTAATATACATTTATGAATTTCACTCCAATATATTTTAAAACCAATGTTGACTTTTCTCCTAGTGGCCTATGAAATGTTTTCGGAAAATAATTTGAAATCTTAAGTACATAGCATACCTATAAACAAATTTAATTTACAGCAATAATGTTACATGGTAGTCGAATTGGGTTATTTTCCACCAAAACCCAAAAATGTTAGCCATACTGTAAGGTTTCCCTTGATCTCTGCTGGTAGTTTGGTAATTCTCCATTATTTCTTCGATTCCTGCAAAATCCATAAAAGCAGACTTTTTTAATTGAATTATACCATTATGGACAAACCACTGGGGAGAATGCGGGGGATTTGTGAGGCAGACAGTGCGATCGCACCCCTAAATTGTTATTAACATTGTTCTTGTATATAATAATAGTATTGGACACCTAAAGGTCCATATCCTCAAAATGTTTTTGCCTCAGCAACCCCAACCAAGGTGTGGTGTGGACTCTAGCGCACCCCTATCGCCAAAAATCCTGCATCCACCCCAAAAACAATATCTACACGCACTCCATTTAACACCATCACGATTCAATGAAAACAAATGAAAAAAAGTATAATAAACTTACAGCACTAACTCCACATGATCGATGGCCCACTGATCGAAACTTGCACCAGCATGAACGGGCTGCCACCATCTGAATCGTACACCATTTGCTTGTGCTCCTGTTGGCAATTCGTACTTCACCTTTGTTGCTCGAGAGTATAATTGCGGGTGATGCTCCGCAATCAAGTTCCACTTCGTACCGTTATTATTGGTGTATTGAAAAACTACAGACTTATTACTGGTGATCCCTGAATCTGGGTGAATATTACATGTTGGGGATGGTCTTGAACTTCCAATTTGAAGTACAAATAAGATTTCCCTAAAACGAGTGAAAGTGCAATTTGTAGCCCACTGATTCTAAATGTTGATGCTAATGTGATGAAAACATGTCAAATTACCAGTACATTTTTTTGTTTGTCCCACCTAGTTGTCTGAAATTGTATGCATTGCAGGTACTATGATGTGAAACAGGTTGACCAATTCCATCCAACATTCCTCCTTGATAGGAATTTTCAAAAGTTTTGTTTACAGACCTTAATTTAGCAGGGGTCCTTCTCATGGTGATTTGGCAATACACACAAGGAGACAATTCACTACTTTTTGTACTGCACTTAAACATCTCATCCGAAAGATGGTGCGCTATTGTAACTTGTATTTCAGCCCTCCACAAGGAGAGCAGTGGATGGAACAACAAAGTGTAGTTGGGTGTGCATCAGATCTTTAAGAAAATATTTAAGATAATTGTACCTTGTATTTCTGGTGTCATATTCCACTGTTACAGCCTCTCTTAAACCACACTTGTTGAAATAGAGTGACTTGCCATGTGCGTGTGGAACGAGGGAACCACATCCAACACCCAGACGACCTCCTCTAACACGACTCCAAATAGAAGACAGAAGCCCACCCTCAAAGTTTTCCAAAAAGTCTCTTGCTAAGGTGCGAACAGGTGTGCAAGATTGGCCTTAAAAGATTAAGAAAGTTCAAAGCTATGTCACCATAACAATGGTCACCATAGCATTGGTCACATTACACCAAATGTATAAAGTAAAGTAGCCAATCAGAATAACAATGTGTAAGGCCAAAAGAAATGTGTGTTACTTAAGCCTGACTGACCCAAATTCTTCAAAATCTAGGCTTGGCCTTTTTTTTTTTTAACAAGAGGAAGCCTAAAAATGTCCAGGACATCAAGCTCATTCGCACTGGACTTTTTGGTAAGAACCTTACCGAGACCATGGGAAGAGAAATCTTACCGCTGTTCACACTTGAAATTTTCTGACTCGGGAAGTTTCACCACAGTCGCGGTAAGACTTCCAAAGCCGTGAAAAGCAAATAATGAGGGCAGTGGTGGCGCGAGCCCAGAAAGGGGGTGGGGGGAGAAACCACAACTCGTCAGAGGGGGAAATGTATATGTATTTTCTACATATTAGTAAACTCTCAAATCGACTAAATAAGCCTTTGAAACCCCTAAATTTCCATATTTTTCATGTGGAACTCTTTCAACAATTTTGAACGCCTGACCATGCCACCTTTTTTCATCAGGGACACAGGCCGGGCAAACCCTGGCCTGTGTCCTTTTTTTTTCTTCAAAAAGTAGGGATGTAGCTGACCTCATGTCATCATGCATGCATGATTTTCAGCTGACCAATAAATGTCATTCTAGTAAAGCGACTCAGAAAGTTTCACAACCATTTTGCCATGTTCGCATTGGATTTTTTGGCTCGGTGAAACTGTCTTGGTAAGTTTTACTCAGTGAAACTTACCGTACGGCTCGGTAAGTATTCCTGTTAGGCAAAGTTACTGAGCTGTTCACACAGCTCTGTAACTCAGGTGGTTGGTAATTCTTACCAAAAAAGTCCAGTGCAATTGCAGCTTTAGTAATAAATTTAATATATTAACCAATAATACTGTAATAATAATAATACATGTAATAATGTAATATATATTTACCAATTAAAAAGTATAGGGCGAGTGATTGTTGCCAATGAACCGTAAACAAATAAGAATTGCTGATCGCCCAATTTTAAAATAATGCTGGGCAACACAACCATTGTTTAGCCTCATTATTAACCAATCAACATTCATGATATCTTACCTTTGTAACTATTTCTTTTAGCATTATTAACCAACCAAGTTTTAAGATATTATCCTTACCTTCATAACCGTCATCACAAACACACAATCCTTTGAGTAAACAAGTGCCATGCCCATGACACATTAGAGGGCATGCTTCACCGATGTAGATATTATCCAGCGACCAACGAGGTGCTTTCCTGTTGGAGTTGGCAGAGAGCTGAATCCATCGGAATTGAGTTGTACTGCAATGATGAAATAAATAAAAGTAAATTTTAATAAATAAATTAAAAAAAATAAAATAAAAAATTAATAAATTTATAACCAATACATAATAAAAAAAAAAGCAAAGGAAAAAAAACCAAGGGTGGCACCAGGATTTGCCTGACTGGGGGTCTGAGGTCCCTGACGAGAGCAAAGTGGGCATGGTCCAGCATCGCTTAAAATGTGGCAAAAGTGGTCCAGGGGGTAAAGCCCCCGAAAATTTTGACAAATTAGGGGTTTCAAAAGCTTATTTAATTGATTTTAGAATCTACAAATAATATGTAGAAAATACATAATTTTTTTGTGTTTTTCTCCCCTGCAATGTACTTTTCAGTGTGTCAATCAAAACTTATAGCTGACCAATAAATATGCAAGCCAAGGAATATGCATGCATGTCCCACAAAACACAAGTTTATGGTTATACATTATGTTGTTTTGTGGGACCTCAATGAACAATATCTAATGGGTGGGGTTTAATCATAATAAAATAATTGGTTAATCATATAAATTTATATATTATATAATATAAATATATATTGCATTGACAAGCAGATAAATTGTAGAAATTATACCAAAAAATCCCATTAATACTGAATATATAAATGTAAAAGAAATAGAAGAGAATGATCTAGGCAAGTCATGCCTAACCTTGATACAGTCTCTGCAGGTAATTCAAAAGTGACCGTTGTCCATTGTTTATGGTCATTAGCAGAGTACACACTGGCTGGATGATACTGGGATGGTGGACAGAGTGGGTTCCCTGAACCTGGGAAGCATTCCCTTTCCACAAACTGCCAATCTGGTTGACTGGGATCTGTGTTGAATTCCAGTTGTACTGGGTATGTTACCTGACAAGAATGGGATTGACTTGAGCAGCCGACAGCAATCTGATTTTGAAGAATAAAACCATTTTCAAGCATTATTATTATTACAAATAACAATAAGGTAAAGATAGGAAAAAAACAACTTATAGCAACTGTAGAGGCATAGTTTGTTTATGGTGGGTACACTGCATCTCATGTTATTAGTTCATATCCGAAAAGACTTGGACCTACCAACCAAAATCTATGAAAAATGTCTCGAACCAGCACCCATGTTGGGGCTGTAGTTAGTGGCGTCACTGCCTAACCACTAGGCCACTTAACTTGCTTAAAGTGTAAGGTATTGTTTTACAAACTCCCATTTTTTCTAATATTACACTGTGGTTCCTGCCAGTTATTTTGAACCATTTATATGGAATTGCAACTATAGTCTATTGATCACAAGTTGAGAAAAGAATATTACCTCTACTAAACTACTTTAATGATGTTGTCTTATCAACAATTCAACAAACATTTGACAAATAAAATTTACTACCTTAAATTGAATCATATAATGGGCGTCGATTATAAGCTGTCTGGTAGTGAGGCTAACATGTATATCATCAGACGATATGTGATCCCATCCAATTGAGTATCCTTGATTATCACACACTCCTTGACGTAGCCCTCCATATGGATAGAAATCCCATTTAGACTCATCCATGGTGTTGTTATTAAAATCAGTAAATAGGTTAATGTGATTGATCTCAGAACCACCTAAGATAAAAAGATTTTGAATTTGCTATTTTATTTTATTTAATAAACTTGTCACAAAAATACAGAAGTGATGGAGATGAGGCAACAGTTGACGAGTACCCCTAAAATGGCTCGCTCCTTAAAATTAAATTACAAAAATGTAATGTGATCATCATTGTTGGTCTGACAAAAGGAATTTCTTGGTTGAAATTCTCTTTTTATTTAATACCTTTTCCTTTATTGATGCATAGCACGTTAATCCCTTACAACAGAAAATGATAATGACTTACCAACGTAAACATCATCCAGTGCCCACTGTGGCTGAGGCAAATCTGGCGACACAGGCGCCCACCACCTGAACCGTGTGGATTGGGTGTCTCCGCGAGCCTCAAGACAGGCTGGTTGAAATACAACGAGCGACCTTCAGACAGAATTCCACAACTTCTAAGCTTGTTCCCATTGGTCTGACCACCTTGAATAAAAGCCCAGTTATTGTAGTTTATAGCGTCTGCTTCGAATCGGTCTTTCATCATTGTCTAAATTAAATTTAAATAACACTTTAGAACATATATCCAATCCAATCAATACGAAAGAATTGATATAACAATTGAACTGACTCTTGAATCTGACTATATTACAATGCTTTGAAATTAAAGTGTTCAATTACAGTAGAACCCTTCCTTTGGGACACCTACTTTAAGGGGACACTTTTTCAGTTACAAAACAAGGTAAAGTATATTAACTTTTAACACCATGGCCAACCCCTATACAGGGGGAAACCCTAATAGGGGGACATTTTTTTGGTCCCCATGGTGTCCTTTCATAGCAGTTCTACTGGATTTGTCTTTCTGTGAGACATTGAAAAATAAATTGATATATACCTGCAATGTAGAGCTACTCTCACAATGTGTTCCAAAAAATCCAGAATCACAGATGCATACTGGGTAATGGCAGGAGCCATGTCCATGACACATTTTGTAACAGCTAGGCCCGATTCTGACTTCATCCAATGCCCACTGCTGGTTAATGGCATCCTCGGTAAAAATCATTTGAGTCCAACGCAGTCTGGTTGCTCTGCGATAATGACAACAAAAAATGGATATGCTGACACTGGAACATGGCTTTGCATAATAAAGTAGTTTATTTTACTGTTCTTAAAAATTCTCAATAAAACCACAAGGAACTCACCACTTACCATTTGCAATTAATTTTGGAATGCTTTATAAGCGAAGACCCAAGTGTTGTTTTTAAAGCGAGAAAAAATAATTTTATTGCAGGACTTGAACCCAAAACCCTAGGACTGGAAGGCAAGTACTCCAGTATCACAGTGAAAAGCACAGTATACAGGTTTTCTACACCAAGAGACATGGGAACCTACTTTTCTAAATACGTCTGTGTGCAAATTTTAATCCAAATAAGGTGCAAACCTTGTTAAAGCTTGGTCTGGAATTGGTATAATGACCCTTCGCCATCCTGGGTTTGGATAGTAGGTGCTTGATGGAGTTACTTCACCATTGCATTCTGGATGTGATGGTAGGCAATTCTTGACAAGATGCTGCCAAGTAATGCCATAGTCGGTGGAATAGAGAAGGTCTACGGGTGCCATGACACTGTCCCAATCTGCATCACAACCCATGCTTAACTAAAGAAAGGTTGAATGTTGAGTCAAAATGAGGTTACATGGTAAAAAGCAAAAAGCTTTATATTCAAGTGCTATGCTGCTACAACATTGCCTTTTTAAAATTACATAATAATCAAATCTTGAAATCAAAATTGATTGTATGTGCAGTGGTGGCTCCAGAAATTTGCCTACAAGTGGTCCATCATGTCTGACAGGATGTCCTAACCAAGAGGGCCGACTACACCCTCAGTCAGGGTTCCGGAATAAAAACCCCTGGAAGGGTTCATGGGAAGAGTTTTTATGGCTTATTATGGCCCAAAATCGTGCCTTTAAATCACAATATTAGGGATTGGCAATCAAAATAAAGGTATTAGGATAGACAAATCATTATTTTTGATCCGACAACCTCATCTTACGACAAGTACCCCTCCCTGCTAGCACCACCATTGAACATGTGCAGGGTGGCTTATGCATGATGCTGATCCATTATATTTTTAGAGATATTCACACAGAGAAATAGTAAGAGTTGATATCTCCACTTACATATTTACAAATCAGACGTAACTGTTTCAGCATCAAGTGAATTTACTAAATAGGATTGCCATACATAATTAATGAGTACATGGCAGGCACGGATCCAGTAGGGGCACGGGGAGACGTTTCCAGCTGTTTTGCAACTAAATTTTTAAAATTTCAATGCATACCACAGTTATGTACTCTCCCCAATCTATTCTGAAACTGCTGGACTTGTCTGCATTCGCCCCTGCATGGAGTTGGGAGGGAGGGGAATTAATCATAGTAATTGAACATTTTCATCATGGAAACAGACCTTGAATTCTAAGACTGAACCTCTTTGCAAATGAATATCTGTAGTGGTGATAACAGTGTCATGTAGAGGGTTCATTCCACCAATCAGGGACCATCTATTAGGCCTGTCATCAGCGATAGGGTTCATCAGCCAATCAGATCTACAGTAAGATCCAAGTCTAGTGTTGTCATGGAAAAGCCACTGCTCATTGACCACACCCTCTTCAAAGTCATCACTAAGCGTACTTGGTAAAGCATGTGTACCACCGATGAAAATATTATCAACCACCCAGTCGCTCTGCCGTTGGCCCTCATGTTTTGGTTGGCGCCACCGGATACGTGTTCCATTTTGCTTAGCCTCTGAGGCCAGTGGTATTGAAACAAATCTGTTTTAAAACAAGGCAATCAGTCTTTATACATACTGTACATACAACACCATAGTAGAGTACAGTACTGTAGTATAGTACAGTACAGCAATATCAGCATAGCTCTGCGAGATTTGTTGAAAGAGTTTTTTAAATAATACATCTAATAATAGTTTTAACTTTTATTAAGTTATTAATATTTTAAATGCTTTCTGTTTTTTTTCATTGTTATTATTGTTGTTGTTTATTATGTACTAATATTGTCTACTTTTTTATGAATTTTGGCATTGTACTGTATTTATATTTATAGTATTATAATTGTTATATCCATGCCTGTATATTTATATAGACCAACACAATTTCTTGAATCTTGAAAATGGTTGTTTCAAGAAGTGTCCATTTTCTTTGTGGCTGTGTTAATTTAACACATTACAGATACAAGATGAAAATGTTGCTTTTGTAAGGAAAATACTTACGAAGGATTTTGATACTGGTCATACAAAAGCTCCATTAAGATGTTCCACACAATTCCACCATTTGTGGAATATTCTACCAGTACACCATGATCACGATTGCTAGGACTTAATACACATCCATACTTAAAGTAGAATTGCACGTGCTCAGCATTGACCAGATCTAGATCATGAGACACCAGCTGACGAACACAGGACTAAAAATATTAAACAATATAATTAATAAATAAAGAATCATGATTGTTAAGTCCTGTCCAGACTATCAAATTTTATTTGAAAAAACATGCGACATGCCTAAATATGGTCATGATGACATCATATCATGACCATATTTAGGCGCATCATGACTATATATGGGCATACAACAGTTTTTAGTCTAATAAAATTTTATTATCTAGACAGAGTTTTCGAAACAAAGAGGTGAGTGAAAGAAACACAAAAAGAGCTTTAAAAAGCGACTTACTCCCACAAAGTGGAGCGCACGCCCAGCTGCAACTGGTCCACACTCATTGCTCAATCCAGCTCCATTTATTTTTAACCAGTTTGTTCTTAGGTTTGCTTGATCTGAAAAGGTTTCTCTGACTTGAGTGGGGAGTGTGGCTGTGGGTGTGTTACACTGTTTGCCTGTCCAGCCATCATCACATCTGCAAGGAACAATACTTCATGAAAAATACATAATGAAATATATAATGTAATTGTATAATGTATAAAATTATATATATTATATATAATTATATAAAATTATATAATGTATAAAATATACATAATAATAATGAATTGTTTAATTTAACACGCTGTCATGTTTGTCAGTATGTAACATACATTATTATTACTGTATAATCTGAAAACCAGAAACCTGATGATTATGACATGGATATACAGCTGGGATAGTTCTAATATATTTATGGGTGATCTAGTTATTGATTAATAGCATTACTTGAGTTATTAAAGTATATCTACATTTGCCTCAATGTTGGTAAGGTAAGCTGTTGTGCAGCAGGACTGGCAAATGCAGTACTGTACAAAATTCTTTAATTAAAATTTGTATTGCATTCGCAACAATCAGTGAGTAACTCGCCAATTACAGGAAGAAGAATACTTACTGTATAAAACAAGTCTCATTATGAGGCCTTTGTTTTTGATCGTGAGAAAAATCCTGCGGTCACAAGAACTGAACCCAGGACCTTAGGATTAGAACGCAAGCATCTAAACCACTCAGCAATATGAATACATTGAAATAAAGCGAAATTATTATCATAACACTGATTCCTTTAATCTTTGGATGCCCAGAACACATAGGATGACATGCTAAAGGCATATTTAGAGTAGAAATTAGGCCTGGCCTGTTATTATTATTATTATTTTTTCTCATTCTGGACAGCGCCACCAACAAGCAAGTTAATTTTGAGACAGAATAAGCAATTCGAAAAAAAGAAATCAAGTATGGGACGCCAAATAAATTAGATATGGCGTGCACTAAATGCAATAAAGACTGAGAAACTCAAAATTAGGGCATGGAACCCAGGATACAGTAGTTACAAATCAGATCTCAAAGTTGAGTTCCCTATATGGCATTACAATTTGTTTTCAAGCAGAGTGGACAAAAAAGAAATTACAAACACTAGTCTAGCTGACTGTTAAAATGTGAAAAATTACTGTATAAAAATAAACTCTTATTCTGGTGAACAATTTCAACACTTAGAATTACAACAAAATATTCAGTGAGTGGTAGATCAACTCATGTTCCTTTTTATTTGGAACAGTCATTATTCAAATACACTATGTCTATTTTGTTTTCTAAATTAATTCTTAGATCTCATGAATATACTTGTTACTATTAAACATTGTTTTGATAGTTCAGTCAGTTCAAAATTATACAAAATGCAAAATGAAAACTTCAATTTGATAAGAGGGTTTTTAGTCATATAATTTCAAATCTGGTTTTTAGAAAAAATGCACAAAGCAATAAAATATTTCAAATCAATAAATTAAATGGATTTACATAACACCAGTATTCATGTTAAAATGCGCTTGACAAAATTAAATTTGAAATGCTTCCTAGAACAGATAGGATTTTAGACATTTTTTGAATATGTTGATGTTTGTGAAATTTTAATGTCTATTGGTAAATTATTCCATAAAGTGGGTGCTGCACAAGAGAATGTACGGTGACCATATGACTTGAGTTTCCATTTATGGATATAAAGGAGGAATTTGTTAGATGAACACAGTGTATGGCAGGAAGCATGATGTGTAAGAAGATCGGCAATATACTGAGGTTTTGATGGCCTTGTAGGTTATGAGAAGCAATTTGAATAATTTAATACTTACATACAGCTAGCGACATTACAAGTACCATGTCCTGAACACATCCTGGGGCAGTCAGGCCCTATGTACACATAACCTAGGGCCCATGACTCTCCTGCAGAGAAACCAAGAGGCTGTTTCCACCTGAAACGGGTTGATTTAGACCTATTGATGGAGAAAAATGACAAATCAAATATTCAAATGTATCTGAAGTCACAATAGAGAAAGACAAAATTGTTAATTATAACTTATATTTTCAATATCTTCATTTTAATCATTAACACCACTATCACCATCATCCCCATTATCATTATCACCATGGTAATGAGGTCAGGGATTACAGTTAAAAAAAAGAAAAAAAGAGGTAGATTATAGTAAATAATTAAAAGGAAAGTTTTAAATGAAATGAGCACTCAGTCAGACATATTGAGATAGTAAAGATCTACACCAAATTTCTGGTAAGAAATAAGGCAAGAACATTTGTATTCATAAACACCTTTGTTCTGATTACCTTTATGTTCAGTCAGATATACTGTATCAGGATGGTAACAAACATCCATCCACACCCCCAATATCCGGGTGGAAATAAGGCGAGGAGCTTTGTATTCATTCCGACAGATATTCATAAACACTTTTGTTCTGATTAACATTATGCTCGGTCAGATATATTGTGATGATAACAATGATCTGCACCTTTTTTTACAGAAAGAAATAAGGTGTACAGTTTGTTATCGTTCCGACATACATCCGTAAGGATATATAAAAACAGGATGATGTTATTATTAAAAAGTAATACTGGCTTTAGAATTCAATAACGATGTTGTTGAACCTTCATTAAATCTATGTGTAAAAAAAACAATGAAAGTATATAAAGGTAATCAGAACAAGAGAGGCTTCATTCAGTATACAAGAGAGCACTAAGAAACAACACACAAGACTGCCAAAGGAAACTGCAAACTTCTCTAAACAACATCCCACAAAACAAAGATAGAAGATTCAGGAAAACTGACTTAGGTAAGTAGAAATTAAAATAAGTTTGCTTGCAGTTGGTTACTTAGTAGCATACTTCAATCAATCAATCAATCAATATCAATGTGGGGAAGCCCTAGGTCTTGCATTTCAACACTGTACTTCTAATTTTTTTTTTAAATTTTTTTTAGTATAGTATGTTTTAATATAGTATAGTATGTTTGTAGTATGTTCATAAGCAATGTCATTTTGCGAACCTATGGCCCAAAGACTCCATGCAATGTAACTTTCCAACAATGAGCTAGAGCCTACTTACATCTAAGGCTCAAACAAGAAAATAAACCACTTTTACAACAACTTTAATAACGATACAAGCTGGGGTATCTAAGCATGGCTGGTTGAGAATGGACAGCATGAAGTTTGAAACCAAACAGCACATGCTGTGCCTATGCACTTGCAACTATTTTCATTGTAGCATGTAGTTTAGTTTACAGTAGTAGAAAGAGATGGACTTTCAATCCCAGAAGAGGGTTCAATGTTTAGTGATTATGCTCTTAAATATATATTTGGTACACGGTAGAATGTTAATGCTCTATTCTTATTCACTGTGCTGCACTTAATTCAAATGCACACCAACCAGTAATTTTATTTACACAGCGAAAGGGGCTGCAATGTTGCAGAACTGATTTTAGTCCTTAATAGTTTCTCATACTATCCCGTCTGTAAATGTCCCTCCCTCGGCCCCCTCTGTTTTGAATTCCTGGATCTACCACTGAAATCCTGTGATTCATTATTATTTCCCAGTGATGTTCCTATAAAAAATCCATAGAGCATTGTTCCTCACTTCCATATATAATTGAGGCATGTTGTGGCAAAATGGCTAAGAAAATGGTATTTTCAGATACCTGAGAATAATGTGATATTTAAAATGAGGGGTCATTCATTGAAATTCGACATTTCAAGCTAAAGTTATTGGAAAGTGAAAGTACAACACTTAAAGTCAAGATAAACAAAATTTTGAGTAATTGCCTTCCAAAACGATTAAATGATTTGTTGACCACTTTCAGATCTAATACTTTGGGACATGATTAATAAGACATTAAACTGTTGATCTATAGTGAAAAAAAATTTTGGATTTTTAGGCAATTTTTTAGCTCCCATATTTTATAGCTCATTTACTCAATACTGGCCTGTGCGACAACTTAACTATTTCGCCACGACAATTTATAAACAATGTTCAAGTTAACATTAGGTTACTTTCCTTTTTGTTTATGTAAAGCGGATAGAAAATTTTTTATTGTGTGCTATACAGTTTTAAGACTTACATTATTATTATTATAATGTATTTACCTGAATCCTGTTTTCCATTTTCCTTTTTTGACTGCTCAGCCAATTTTACTATCAGTGAGCTTGAATTAGCCATTAAGCAATTCTAAATCACCAACTCTATTACCAAACTATCTCTCTTTTGCTCATCTTCTTTCAGCTAAACTCTATTGCCACTCTACATAGTAAAATTCATCATCATCACATCAACATTATAGTCAAAATAAATCTTTTATCAGCGATTTTCGACAACCATAGCGATCCAATTAATATGTGTAATGCATCTTAATATTTAAAAACATTGTCTTAGATGTATTTACTTTACTTTATATGTACTTTGTGTGCTAAACACTAATCTTATATTACACAATTTTTCCTATACTTCTCATATTATTATAAAGGCACGTGCACTCAAGTTGTGTATTATAGGTAATTCAGATGTTTGTGAGCAGAGATGCTGGTAGTAGCATAAACTGCATGAACAGGAAAAGTAAAAAAACAAACTTGTTTTTGACTTTGTGAATTCTGTATTTAGGCATATGGGGGGAGGTAGGCACTCTTAATGGAGATGCTAACCACGAAGATGTATAGTAAGTGTAACTAATTGGCTTACAGTAAACCTTCAAACTAGCGTAATATAACCACATTCTGGGCTGATGATGTTGTCTTATTAGCAAATAATGAGCATGAAATGACAAGGATGCTCAATCTTGGAACATTATTTGCTAAAACATGGAAATTAAATTTTAATTTCGACAAATCTAATATTCTAATTTTTGGAAAAAGAATTGATAAAGAAAAACAATGGAAATTAGGTGATGGTTTCATTGTGAAAGCAGAGACATACAAATATCTTGGGGTTAATATATCCAGGAAACTAAATGATAATGTACAATTCCAGAATGTACTTACAAAGTGCAATAGACTAATTGATTGATAACTGCAATAATTTTAATAGGAGATACTATGGGGATATTTTATGGAGAACAATTGGTCTCCCATCTATAAGTTATGGTTCAGCTGTATGGTGTTCCCTAAATAAGTCAGACATTGACAAACTTGAACAATTACAATTGCAGATGGCACGCTATATTCTTAGCGCAACTAGAAATACCCCACGTGCAACTTTGTATTGTGAACTTGGCTGGCTGCATTATACATATGGAATCACATCGGTGGCCAAAATTTTTACTTAAGGCTTTAATACACATGGATAGTAACTTTGATAATTTCCATTTTAAATTTCTTAAATGTTTCCAATGTTCAAAATGTGAATAAGTAAATTTATTTAAATTAATATGTGATACCATTGATTATCCTATCAGAAATTGGACCAACTTCATTTTGAATGAACTTGAAAAAGAATCTTCCCTTTCAGATTACTCAATTATTAAGGAAAGCCCTTGCCAAGAAAAATATTTACTTAAAACTACAGATTTTGAGGGTGCTTGCATAAAATTTAGATTACGCTCCAATACTTTACTGTTACAAAGACGAATCTCAAGTTGGTTCGATAATAATGATGGCATTTGTTCTATTTGTAGCTCTTGGATTATTATTCTTCCCATTTCTTCCACGGAATAACTCTCTGTTGCACACAATATGTTTCTTATCATGTGCAACATTTCTACCACAATTTCTGCCATAAAGAGTTAATTCATTGATACATAGAATGAACAAAAACAACCATTGCTTCTAATAAATATTGAAAATAGGGTAAAGTAAATGTTATTCCCCCAACTTTGTGGAATGACCAATGACATTACTACTTTATATTTAGTGATTGCCGTCGTTGTTGTTTGCGTAAAATTGAATTGATTCAACTTTACACAATGCAAGACCACAACGCAAGGAAAAAGCTAATTTGCGCATGCTCAAACTGTGTGCTTCGTGTTTACATGTTGGAGATGAGTTATCTTTCATCTTGACCATCGCTGATGTCAGGAACTGAATTTTAGCGATTTATTTTATTAGAACTACTTTTTTTGTAAATAATGTTTTTCTTTGTTTGTAACTTACGGTGTAAACAATCGCGGATGTTTATTTTTATGTTAGCGTTTTTCTTCTGCGGTCATTGCACTGTACTGTAATAATTGTAATTAAGACGCTTACACGAGTGTCTGCTGAGCTAGAGACAAGACGTTGTTTTGCCGTGTCTGTGAAGTGTAAAGAAAGCTATAACTTACACTTTCAAGTTTTTGTTCGAAGTTATTTACTGGGGTTCTTTGTTTTCTAATAATATGTTACGGTTAATAAACGTTGATACCACGTTAATTTGGTCTTAGTTCATTCTTTGACTTGACGTTTCACCCACGACACTATCTTTATCAATGATGTTGCTACTATTATTACTGTTATTATTATCATTATCATCACAGCCTAGCCTAGCCTGGTCTGGATAGAGCCACTGTGATGGTGTTCTTCTACTGCGTGGCATACTGTATATAATACTGTAAATATTAATACTGTATTTATATAATGCATCTTATCCTTTCTTCAAAACAATTTATTTACTACACAGGGGTGATGTTGTTGCTATTATTACTGTTATTTTATCATTATTACCATAGCCTAGCCTAGCCTGGTCTGGATAGAGCCACTGTGATGGTGTTCTGCTACTGAGTGGCATACTGTATATAATACTGTAAACATTAATACTGTATTTATATAACCACTGGCGTAGAAAAGTATTTTTCATTGGGGGGATGATTGGCGTGTTAGCCAGTGTCGTAACAGGCGTGGGGGGGGGCTAACGGTTTTACCGGGCTGACCAAGCCGTCGTACCGGGCTGGGTAATAAGAGAAAAGAAAGAGGGGAGAGGGAGGGAAAGAGAAAGAAGAGGAAAAGAAAAATAAAAAGAGAGAAAAATAAAGACAAGAATGTATAAGATAATAAGAATATATAAGAATATATAAGAATAATAAGATATCATAATGACCAGACTCACAACACCCAGCAA